CCCCAATTTTTCGCAAAGTTTCCGCAACTGGAAACGTGCAACTCGAGCAGTTCAGATTCAAACACGGGCAGTTCAGATTCAAACACGGGCAGTTCAGATTCAAACACGGTCAGGAATATGTTTATTCATAACTATCGCCTTTATTTCAGTTGCTAAACCATTAAAATTGTACGTCTGTTTTGGATGTCATGTCAAAAATTCAAATCAGTTGTCAGTAAGATAATAGTGAGATTCAGATCTGACGTCCACTACCGCTACAGCTACCATCACGGGTCCATTGGCCAATCAGATGCGTTTGATATAACCGATCGATTAACCAATCATGCAGATGCGTACTAAGCCAGTGAGATGTAGCAGTAGCGGAAGTCAGATGTGAACCTCTCAATGAAGAAAGATTTGGTTTACCTTATCACTCATGGCATATTTTGTGACCATAGCTCTGGCTATGTTTGTGGCTTGGGAAAAGTCACTTGACGCCCCTACACGGAAAAAGAAATCATAACGAAAGGAAATTTTATTTATACAGAATTAGGTTCTGCACTGCTGTTGTATACAAGAGTCATGCAAAAACTGATCAATTAAATTTATCCTTGATATAGTTACATTAACATTGCAAAACAGGTATCACTCAGATTTCTGTGTAGGGTGAACATTTTCACAGATTTAATGTGCAACTCTTGCACATTCTATTCAACACACTTCACAGTATAAAAAACAAACAGTGTACGTAACGGTTTTTGTATCTAGTGATGAACAGTCGCAGATAAAAACATGGTCTGTGCTCACGTGAAAAGTTAATGTTTGTAACGAGCATTTCACAGTTTAAATCTTGTCAGCCTATCACTTTCAACATACAGGGATGGGGGTGTGCACCTCGTCTAGCCTTGGCAAAGGTGGATGGTTGTTGCCAGTTTCCGTATTGTTCGGAAAGGCAATATCGTGCGACAGGAAAAAGTCTGGGAATGAGGTTGCTACGGTGTGAAGCATATACAACTACGAAGCGAAGGCCGTTCGTCTGGGGCCGGTTGTATAAAAACGTAATTAGCGCTAACTGCAGTTAGCGTTAATTACTCTAGTTAAATCCTTAAAACTGTAATTAGTTAACTACATGACTTAACTGCGTTGCACAAAACGTAGTTAGTCGGATAGTTAACTAATCACGTAGTTAACTGTGCGTGGGGCGTTTAAACACAAAACAAGACGCTCTGTGGAGCGTTAACTCGCTGGGGCTACACAACTGAGTACTGACGCACATTACTGTTAAGATCTAAAGGCCTGATTCCACGAACGCTTTTTGTCGGCGAAATGCGAATTATTTTGCCTGTTTCTTTTGAATTGCGACTACTCGAATAAATTAATTCTACTTGATTGCTCACAATTCAAAAGAAGCAGGGGAAATATTTTGCATTTCGCCGAGAAAAAGCGCCCGTGGAATCAAGCCTTTAAAGGCTGATTTCCACTGTTGCGTTTTCCGTACTCACGTATACACGGCTACACGCACGTAAAACTTTGAATCTTTCTATTTTCAAATATTTTACAAATAAGTTAACAAATTCATACTAAAGCGTTCGTAACAGTGAATTCTGTTGCTTTATTTATTTGGCTATTTTACTGATTTAAAGTTTTACGTGCGTGGAAATTAAGCCTAGCCATAAACGCCGGAAGTTTCCCCTTTAGCTCGGGCCACAAGTAAAGTTATATTTTATACGCTACATTCTTCTGTCGGCCGCCAGTTTAAAACGTTTAAAATAAAATATTTTTGGGCTTTTCGGCTCAAAATATTATCAAAATGAAGAGAGAAGTGAGACGACTCCACTGGTGTACGGCCGAAAAAGAGAAAACCAATGATACCAAAGACGTACTGCATCTTTTATATATTATTTGAGCGATTTGTCAACAAATAATACAATTTCGCTTTGCTTTTAAAGACAAAGTCAAAGGCCATAAATAGCTATAATACTGTTGTCAGTTGTTTAGTAATACATTTAACATCCGTAGGTACAATTTCTCATCCGTAAGTACAATTTCTTACGCTGAATCGAACGGTCGTATTTTTATCCTTATTGCGCCATTAAGAGGCATTTTATACAAATACAATATGATATTTCACACTGTGTACACTACAGTCTACAGACAGTTTTCACGGACTGTTGTTCGATAAATTAATTTATATTGATATGACACGAATATGCTTCTCATAAAGTAGTTATAACTTAAACTGCAGAACGTAGTTTTAATAAATAACCTTTACCTTGAAATTGTCTTTGGCTCGTTTATATTCAGATTCAGTATATTATGATCGTGCACGGGAATTCAACGATCCAAATTTAGTGAATTTCGAATTTTCAGAGTCGTTCACCAAGGAAAACGCATTAAATAAACTAGCATGAATGTCCTGAGTTTGACACAATGCAAAATCCATAGAAAACAGGTACAATTCGGCCAAAATTTTCACGCAATTGGGCACGGAATTGTTTGAAACATTTTGCCCACTTCACGAAAGGCCCCGCCATTTTGAAAAGGATCAAGCAGCTCATTAATATTCTATTTTGTGACTGTCGACGATCGGAGATTGGAGAACCATGCCGAAACCTATACTCGTCTGGGGCACAGAGTGCCCCAGCGAGTAATTACATAAAGTAAGCAGCGAGTAACGACCGCTGACACACATTTTCAACATGATTGTGGACTCGTATTTTGCAAATAGGCGGGAATTTTATTAAAAACAGTAAAAAATAAACAAGAGAGGCTAACTACACTTTTATACAACCGGCTTAACTATGTGATTAAAGTTGACTATTTTTTTAAGACTTAACTACTTTTTAACTGCAGTTAGCGCTAACTATGTTTTTATACAAGCGGCCCCAGGACGTTAGTATGCTACCACCTTACCACCATCTAGTTCCACGAACACCGCTGTTCGTAGCACCCTCAGGTAATTACGCACTTTGGTCAACGGGTGAACTCCAAACCATCTGGCTTGAGTGATCTATCGTAACCTAATGCTTATTGACCGGTTTAATCGTTATATGGATGTTTCACGCAAGCATAGACAATGTCTGTATACTAACCACTTGTAACGTTATCCTTGCCAAATACGAGTTCTTCAGCAACACGTCCACCCATACATACATCCAGTTTAGCTAACAATTGTTTCTTAGTCCATGATAGTTCATCTTTCTCTGGAAGTTGAGCTACCTGAACATACATGATCAGTGTTGCAATTAGAGTGCCACCAATCCCTGATAGAGTTTTGGTAAGGGCAGTATTTGGGTCATTCCCAGAGGAAATGTAATATATCTTGATACTAAATTATGATGCCATTAGATGAACTTTAGCGGCAACAAACACAGTAATCTAATGTACAATCTGACTTTGATAGTGAAAAAGGTGATCAAGGGACGTTTATGGGAAGGGATGTTTAAGGGAACGAAATATGTATAGTAAGTTGTGATCGAGCCAGTAACTTACCATTCCTAAGGCATCTCCACGTGGAACAATTGTTGCTTTGTGTAGAGGTAGGGCTTCTACAGAAAGATTGGCAACAAATCATTATCCTTCATGTTGCATAGAGTATTAAGAAAAAATATTTATTTTGATAATAGCACAAACCTGGAGTAAAATGTGCAACCAATGCATGTCCTCCCTCATGATATGCAACTACTTCACGATTTTTTTCCTCAATGAATGCACTTTTTCTTTCAGGGCCTACCGTACGTAATAAAACATGAACTTTTAGCCAGTCTGTGGTGACTTGCACAAGAATGCTGAACTGGTTGGATATTAAGTACCAACAGTTTGGGTACACAATTTTCGATTAAATTTCAGTTTGGTCATACATTTTTTCCGGACAATTTTTTAACGTTCGTACGCTGTGTCAGCATATCCGGTTCAATGAACCTCCATATTACATGAAGTACTCGTTTCGTATATTACCCATAATGATTTTATCCCTGGCGTAATCCAAATGTTCATTTGTCACATTAAAATGACCATCACTCGCAGCCTTCAAGGCAGCCTGATTTACCAGATTAGCGAGATCAGCACCTAAACATATGAGAAATGAACGGTACAGTATGTATTACAGTATTTGGACATACATTTGAAATAGCCTCGTCCGCATGCGTCATTTCTCATCCTGACACAGGTGACCCCGATAGAGATGCCTACTACGGAGGAGGCTAAATTTGAAAATTATTTTGTAGAATACTCGGAAGGTTTATTGTTCAGAAGTTTATTGTTCAGAAGTTTATTGTTCAGAAGTTTATTGTTCAGAAGTTTATTGTTCAGAAGTTTATTGTTCAGTATTACACTAGGAGTTACTATTGTATGGAAGGTGCTGCCTCTAACTTGACGCTCTCAATAGATAGATCAGAAAAACGACTGGGCATGTATTGGGCTATTTCGTGTTGTTTATTACGGCGTCCAGGAAGGGGCGTTGCTCTTCATTGGAACGTGCGCTTAAACGCCCATGCATTACTCTTGAAAAAATGCAATTTAGTGTAGAGCGATCAGATCGAAAAATCGCGCTAGTACATAACAACAATAACATAGATGAATCTTAGGAAGAAACTATTATAGACAACGACAAATTGATCACCATCTTTAGACTAACGTACCTGAAAAGCCAGGTGTACCTCTGGACAAAGTGTCAAGACTAACATCTAAATAAAAAATATATCCTCTTAAAATTTATTCCTGTATACACATAACATCAAACGTAGATGTTTTCCTATACTCTGCAGCACTTCCAGGAGAAATTTAGCATCTGCCACTTCATAATTCATATGTATTTAATTCGAGGTTCAATATACGGACTCAAATGCAGCCAGCCTAATCTCTCTTTCTTCTTTGACCGTTGTTAATATTGCTCATGCATGGGCAAGATATTACAGTCTCATACTGCCTACTCTATACACGTGCTAGTTGACCAAGGCTATTATAATAGTGTGTCGTGTAACATTTGAAGCCTCGTGTCCAGGCGTTTTTAGGTTATTATAGGTGCGTGGGAGTGATTGGAGGAGATTTGGCAGAATCGAGTCTTCCTCGGAATGCTTTGTGCGCGGTAAGCGAACGTGCTCATGACAATCAATTTTCCATATATTATCATATATTAGCTCCACACCAAAAACAGCTTTCTACCCCCTAGCAAGACCACAATGCACCACGATTCAACATGACGTCGTTAATGGTGAACAAGTTAACTATGTTCTTACCATCTGCTAACTGTACTTTGCCCAGATGAAGTTCAAGGATGCTCTTGCGTGCTCGTACATCTGGCATGGGAACTGTCACACGACTGTCAAAACGACCAGGTCGCACTAATGCCCTAGAAATATCAGCCACGTTAGATTTTCGAAATAAAGTACTTTTCTTCTGAACAACAATACAAATATAAAATATGCAATTAAAAGTAAGACTTCTAAATATTAGCATTTTGTCTCTTTTTTTTTGTTATTTACTTACTTATCGAGAATTTCAGGAAAGTTCGTAGCACCAATAACGACAATACCTTCCGTTTTATCAAACCTAAATAATCCAATCATATGTTAGAATGAGAAAGTATTTTGCGAAACCTATTATTACAAAACTAGACAAAACTACGAGAGACACTTCCCCAACATCAGAATTTAGGGCATCACACTCACTAGATGTAATTCATTGTAAAAGTGTTGATGGAAATTTTCGAGCGTAAATTTTTACACATTTATTAGACCAGGCCAGGAGCATTTGAATAAAAATTTACACTAGAAAATTTCAACCTACAAAACCCATACACATTTACACTAGAAAATTTCCACCAACAAAACTCTTATACATTTACACTAGAAAATTTCAACCTACAAAACTCTTATACATTTACACTAGAAAATTTCAACCTACAAAACCCTTATACATTTACACTAGAAAATTTCCACCTACAAAACCCTTATACACTTACACTAGAAAATTTCCGCCTACAAAACCCTTACACATTTACACTAGAAAATTTCCACCTACAATTGCATCTATCGAGTGAGATGCCCCAAAATCCTGATATATAACATGCATACATCTTACATTGGCATTATGTTATAGTACATATACATGAACTTGCGGTTAGAGCTCGACGCTGCATCGGAATCGCAGGTTCGATTCCTGCCACGGAGCCTAGTTGCACTTCCTGAACATACTTTAATGCACACGAAACATAGGGGAGAATTCGAGCACCTGTGCAATCTTCAGGAAGTTTTACAAGTCTTATCATTCTTCTAGTAAAAGCACGTGACCTAACAAAACTCAACTTATTGAAAATGAATTATCTTACCCGTCTAACTCGACGAGGAGTTGATTCAATGTCATTCTTGAATAAGGTTGGTGATCTCCAACACTTCGCGTTCCTCCAATAGCATCAAGTTCATCAATAAATATAATGCAAGGTGCAAGTTCCTTAGCTGCCGCTGTGGAGAGTAAAAGAATATTTGTATGCATATAATCAAGCGTAATCAAGTCCATTAATAAATGGAATACACGGTGTGACTGTCTTAGCTTGCAGCTGTGAAAGAATAGGTTACATGTATGAAGTCATGCATAAACTGTACAATAATAGGTAGAGGTTTAAATTATAATAATCCACTTCAGCTGAACACAGTATAAGAATACCGAGTGTACGTTTTATCAAACTAAAGTAATCTTTTTTAGACTGTATAGTTCCATCAGTTCTAAACTGATCTTTCTAGTAGTGATTGACCCGATTGTGTCACAATCGGAAATTACCGATTATTCATTGCAACAATCTACCCGATACCGATTCTATAATGACGTCATAATGTCAGTCGACCAAGTAAAGGTGACGTCATTCATTTAGATTATTTACCAATAATTTCTAACGTGACATGTTACGGTAACCATGCAAAGTTCATGTTTCGCTCGCTACTCTGGTTTAAATAAATGATTACAAAGCCCAGTCGAATTGTAATCAAGACCCAACGTTTCGTTGGGTCTTGATTACTATTCGACTGGGCTTTGTAATCATTTATTTAAACCAGAGTAGCGAGCGAAACATGATTGATATACCTGGTTGCAGTGAACGAATAAACTTTACATGCAAAGTTCGTTAAAACCGTTCATAAATTATGGTACGCATCACGCGTTAATTTAACATATTGCGTTAAAACGCAACGTGTATCAACACGCAATGCATATAATTTTTAAAGTGCGTATTTTCTCAACAATCTGTTTTACACAATCGGGAATACAAATAATTCTACCGATTCCGATTGTCTACCGATAAGGCATACATGATATCGATTATTTATCTAGAGGTCCAACAAGGCTCATCCATTATAATGGTCAAGTGTTACTGCTCGTACCTACGGTGTTTGGTGGAATCCAACTGGTAGTAACAAGCTGAGACTCAATTCACTCAAATAAAACATTTTGATCCACTTACCAAACAGGTTTCTTACTCTGGCAGCACCAACTCCGACAAACATTTCATCAAACTCAGCTCCAGAACAGAAGAAAAATGGCACTCCAGCTTCACCTGCTACAGCTTTTGCAAGTAACGTTTTACCAGTGCCTGGGGCTCCAATCAACAATATACCTGCAACATATTATAAACCAATGAGTGATATTCCAAATTTCATATTTTATGATAGTAATGCAATTTCACCGAACTAAAATTTAGTTCATACTTTGCAGCAAGTATACGATTTAAATAAAATTTCACTGCTCTGGCCGAAACGTTTACAGTAAAATATCGTGTTCGAAAAGAACAGCTTTCTTTAAATCGTGACTATGATATTAAACGCGTATCATAAGGAGTAATATGAGATTATTACCGAGGCCAATTAAGTTATATATCATGTACTACTTCAAAGCAACCAAAACATGTCTACATTTCACACGCCATGCAGAAAAATATGCAGATATAAAAGATTCCAGCATGACCGGGATGTCCTCAAAGCAAAACATACTATCATTTGCATCTATGAATGAACAGTCGCAGAAAATTGCCCATTCTTACGCGAAACGCTATAGTGTTCATGACGAGCGTTTAAAGGTCTCAACTAGTGAATGACTGATCAGAGGATAACCTGTCAATTTCATGCTCTTGACAAACATGAAAGTTTCACGTGAGAATACACATATGTTGTTATCTACGATTGTTCCCTCTTTGGATGCAAACCATGGTACCCGGTGTTGGCCAACACATGCATGCACGAACTATAAGTATTGCTTTTTTGTATAATTTCAAACACATGTTTACCAGAGGGCAGTTTTCCACCAAGCTTAGTAAATTTTTCTGGTGATCTTAAAAATTCTACAACTTCTTTCAATTCCACCTTAGCCTCTTCGACCTGAAGCAAAAAAGGAAGAATGTTAGAGCATGACGTCATTACATGTATTTTGAACGATGAACGTCTTTAACGGGTTTCTGTTACATGCACGAGTTCATTGTTACTTTCTCCTGTGTTAACAGTACTGTAGTGTTGGTAGAATTCTGCAATAAGCTGGTGTTGGTTTTCCCAAAGCCTTTTACTGATTGGCCTTTTACTGATGCAGACGTTATGGTGATTTTTATCACGTTTTTGTTAAGTAAAGTTTACCTACAATTTAAATATATTACACAAACGTGTAAGTAAAGTATTCATTCATGCATATGTTTCACCAAGCGCCTGTACGAAGTTTGATAATTAAATGGGACTCACTCCTTGTACGTCTGAAAATTTGACTTTCTTCTCTGAACTATCAGGCTGTACTTCCTTTTGATTTGAGGTCACTAAAACAATAAACTGAAGTTATTTCTTGGCAAGAGAATTACATCAATGATAAACTAGATTTATTTCTTAGCAAGAGTGTTAGATCTAATGATTAAAGTGGAAATTAATAAACGAATAAATGTCCTGAAATTAAATTTCATTAACTTTGGCGTACATTAGTATTAGATTAGGGTTAAGATTAGGTTCACTGGATTAGGTTAGGATTAGTAAGGATTGGGGTTCAATCTGGGACCACAGGGATGCGAGGTATTGCAGCCCAGTTCATAACTGCTACAGCTAAAAAAACTGTTTAACTAAGACAACAAAAAAAGAAAAAGTTTAACGCTATTTGTAAAGTTGAACGCTATTTCTAATTCTTTACTGTTTGGGGTAGCTTGCACTCCAGAGGGCTCAATCAAAGAGGGGACAATCAAAGGGGCTCAATCAAGGATCAAGGGCAACCCCCCCCCCCCCCGCGTTGTTTGCATTTTTGACAATGAGCATAACAAATCAGAAGTTTGGGGACGACGCCGAGCGCAAGTCAAGGCTTCTTCACATTCTTGAATAGATCTGAATTGCTTTCGCATTTTTCTAGCTCTTTTTGTGTTTCTGCGGATTGATAGAGATACAACTACCTGATAAATACAAGCAGAACGTACTTCGACGTTTCGAGCGAAGGCCCTTCGTCAAGAAGTTAGGGAAAGTTTCGAGCGAAGACCCTTCGTCGTTCACGCTACTAACTTCTTGGAAATTGTGCTTGTATTTTTCAGATAGTTTTATCTCTCAATCTGCTGCTTTCTTATGAGTAGGATTGTAAGGATTAGGAATTTACAAATAAATTGATATAGAAATAAATTCATACGTCATGCGCAAATTAAAATATCTATTTCTCATACTTCTCATTTGAAGTTGTGCTTCAAGTACAGATACAATAAGGAATAGACCAATAAGAAATCTTAAAGTATTCCAAAGTTGTTCTTTGAAAAATGAGCCTGCAAGAAAAAAGTAAAAGCAGTTTTATGCTTGCAGGTATAACCAAGATGGCACCCAATGAAACGTTGTAACGTCATTGATGTCAAAGGAAGTATTTGTACATTCGTTGGAGATAGAGTTTAAAAATTGCCTGTAAATCATTTTGTCTTCACCTCTCATTCTCTGAAAGTTTCTGACTTACGTGAAGCTCTTTAAATTAAACCGTCAATAAATTCGAACAGGTTCGTGTGCACAAACAAAACGTAATCAAAATCATATTTTTTCTTCATTCTTTCTCACTGACATTGTGTGTCCATACATTCGAGTTTGTAACAGCTGTAGTTAGTGAAGTCGCGAAGTTTCAACTTAAGCACAATAGCACATGCAGTTCTGACGTAAAATAAAGTCAAGTAAAGATTAGTTTGTTCTTTTCAAGGCACGAATTTGACTGGACAACTCCGCATTCTGGCCGGACAATGTCAGCCTGAGTTATGATTCAGTCGGAATTTTAGCTCAGCTGCCGTTTAGTATATACCGCACATTTTCGGTGGCGATTAATGTGTTCTATACTTTATCTGTCGTGATAACTTAACGCTTTAAAATTCCCGGTACCAAAATGAGGACGGAAGTGAAGACATCGATATCGGTATTGGAAGTCGAACTTAAACTCTCTTATAGAGAGGTTCAGACTTCGACTATCGCTACCATTACAATTAACTAACCAGATGCATTTATTCTACCCGATTAACCAATCAAATGCGTATTAAGCCTGCAAGAGGTAGCGATAGTGGAAGTCAAATCTCAACCTCCTTACCAATGCGTCATAATTAACTTACGTTTATCATTATTCACGGAAACAACAACAGGATTTCCTTCACTTCCTAAACCATTTGATGTCACTTTCTGAGTATTCTGACGTAATGAGAGAAATGGTTTTACCGTCGCCTAGAAACAACAATAAGACGAAATTACTATTAACCATCTAACCTTATTGTTTAAAAACGTCAACGTGAAACTTGTTTTGTTTGTACAGGTTGTTTAATTAAGTTCAGAATGGTCACAAGGGCTTGAACTCATGGTCTTCGCATTGCTTGACCATCTACTATAGAATCTACTAGTTAAAATTGAGAATGAATGTCATAGTAAAAACTACAATGTAACGAGCTCATTTTGTCAATGGACGATAGGAGAGTGCACGTGAGAACACATGCAGGCACAGAAAAAATAGATAACAATATAGATAACGTGAACACAGGCCTCTCCTGGGAGAAATTTTCACTGGCAGTGATATTGATTGATTTACATGTAAAGACCCGTTCAAACGCGAAACGAGGCCAACTTCCAACACTGTCAGATGCAACATCGTTAGTCTCGGTTGCACGCTATGTTGGGTAATGTTGGCTGATGTTGAAAGATGTTAGACTGGGTTTGGCATTGTTTAAAATGTCCATCCAACATTGTTCAGCATCGTCTAGCAATGTTCGATGTCCTATTGTAATATTAAACACACACACTTATATATTACCTCGTTCATTTCTTCACTACTGATTTTATCTGTCAATATTAGTGCCTAAAATGAATGAATGAAAGGCAATTAATATGATACAACAAAACTTTATATAGCTTCATTATGATAACAGCTGTATATTCATAATTATATAGTAGTATCATAACTGGCTACATTGTAGTGGACCAAATTGCTTTGCGTTCCAAACTGCTGTGAGCAGCAGAGCAGACTAGTGGATGTCTTTCACGTTAATTTGTAAAGTAAGGCACAGCATACCTTACAATATTCCCGATAACAAGCATCATTACTTTTATATTTCGCACTTTCGTATCTTCGAATTACGTAATGCGGATCTTCTTTAACAATTGCCTGAAAATACAAGCAGAACATTGTGTCTGGGAAACGTTTTAAATACGTCTACTGTTATATACTGTACTCTATATATTAAAATTTATTACCTGCGCCAGGAAGTTCTGTTTTACTACCTCCTCGCTACCTCCGCCAGCTGGAGATTGTGCTTTCACATGAGTTTGTTTATACATATGTATGTGTGTATGCATGTGTGTTGTCTGTATGTCAGTTTAACAACAGTTTAATATGAAATTTTGTGCAGCTAATGAGCATACTGTAGACGAAAGACAACTCGTTGAAATTAGGGTTCAATAGACTGCACTGTTTACTGCACTCTTGTTCGCCTGTGTACAAACGTTACTCTCGACGAAGCGCGCGAGAGAACGTCTGCGAGTTGGATGAAGATTCCTTGTTCTGATCACGTGGATTTTCCACAGATTTGTGGAAAGGCCTCTGATTGGACAGTGCTTTATTTGAATAATATATGACAAATGAAGATACTTCATTGGTTTATTGATAATTTGCACGCATGCGTTTAAAATAACACACAATAATTCTAAATTCCTCAAGAATCAAGGTTTCCTTCGGGGCATACAAAGGTTTGAAAGACTTGAAATATAATCTATTGCGTTTAATTTTGTGCTGTATCGAGGTTAAGAAAATCAAGATAAAATTCTAGTGTTTGGACACTCAGCGAACAATGCTGACAAATATAAAATACAACAAACCATCGGACGGAAATTGACAATTTATAATTGAATTGACAATTGAATTGACGATCTGTTTATATGTCCCGACCCCTCGCGACAAAGCATTTTCTTTCGTGTGTTTACTTCGTCTTACATGGCCAGTTAACTTTTAATTACTTTAAAATGCACCTTTTGAATAACCAGTTGTGTTTATATTTAATACTTTGTCTTTGTAAACAACTATAGGCCATATGTACGCCAAGAACTGAGCTTGTACACCGGAGTTGCCGGCGGCTATGATCATCGTTCAGTATTGTTCACATTCAAAACAAATCTCTTCATCGAGAAATATATGCAATATATTTCTGGTGTATCGTTTTTCAGATTATATTTCAAGTCTTTCAATCCTTTGTATGCCCCGAAGGAAATCTTGATTCTTTAGGAAATCTCTGAATTTAAAATTATTGTGTTGTTATTTTAAACGCATGCTAATTATCAATTAACCATTGAATTATCTTCATTTGTCATATATTATTCAAATAAAGCACTGTCCAATCAGAGGCCTTTCCACAAATCTGTGGAAAATCCACGTGATCAGAACAAGGAATCTTCATCCAACTCACAGACGTTCTCTCGCGCGCTTCGTCGAGAGTAACGTCTGTACACATGCAGGCTATTGGGATCAAGATCAAAGATAAAGATATTCTAGCATGAAACATGGAGATATTAACCTTTATGTGCGCCTGCAATGCTGAAACGAGGCCATTGGGACAGTAACGTCTATTTGGATGAATTCAGATGAGAAATTTACAATTGTTTTGTTACAATCACGTTGGTCTTGTTTTCCGTGTTAAAACGAGCGGAATGATAATAAAAACGTGTTTAATTTATGTACAATACTAGATTTTCGCTGACGGACCTATTCAGTCACTGTGTCCCATACTGCCCTCTGTTAAAAAATACTTCGAAAAAGTCATGTTTATATCGTGACCGATAAATCATTATGAAAATCGAATAATAATCACGAATACCAAAAGGTACGTTTATAATGGGTTGTCGCTGTTGTTTTATTTATTTGATCCTGGACAACAAAATCTTTCTAAAAAACGCGCTTCGATTCGAGACACGAGGACAACATTTTCAAGTGTCACAGTGCGCAAATTGAACAAGCACATAGCAGCACACGTTTAGTTTTAATCTTATACCTTCAAATAATCTGCTTGTACATCAGCATCATCTGGATTATCGTTAGCTCTTCCTTCTAGATCATGTATTTGACGTGCAGAATATGTAAACACTGAACGTACAGTCATTGCTACAAAAAACACAACAAATAATACACATGTTACTGCATAAACAACAGATTAAGGTTGAGTACTTAATGGAAGGATTTGTGGATCATAAATGTTGCAAGTTTTACATTAGCTGACATCTCTAATCCACAATCAGTATGCATTGATTCCGTTTATTCATTCAAGACAATTATACAATCTACGGCGAGGTGAAGCTGACTTGTCCTCAATAATATTTATTTGTTTCGTTTATATATTTTTGTCTACCTGTTGGTCTTTGTATGCTTCATGTAACTTTAATTTGTACATATTATTTGTGTAATTAGTTAGTTAACACGCCCCTCGTGAAAAACAGCTGATGTTGATGAGGCTAGCGTGTCAAAATAAAGTATTACGTATGTATGTATGTGTGTGTGTGTGTGTGTGTGTGTGTGTGTGTGTGTGTGTGTGTGTGTGTGTGTGTGTGTGTGTGTGTGTGTGTGTGTGTGTGTGTGTGTGTGTGTATGTATGTATGTATGCATGAAGTTGAACACTTCAGATCAGTGAGTATTTTCCCAATAACACGATAGAATACGAACTGTGGATTTGGTATGATTACGATTAGCATTTCTACAGGGTTCGTACATGTCAGGAAGAGTCAAATTCAAGGACTTTTCAAGGACATTCAAGGCCGTGTATCAGCAAATTCAAGGACTACATACTGAAGAAGGTGTTAAAAATCAGCAAAATCTGACGTTGAATTGTTCAAAACGTAACTTTATAATGAGGTCAGATATGAACATGTAAAATCAGTTCAACAAAATGTCCGTCTTGATTGTCAAAAAATTTCAGAGAATATCCAAAAACTAAAGCAAGAAGAATTCAAGTACTTTCAAGTACTTCTTTACAAATTCAAGGACATTCAAGGACTTTCAAGTTTTGTATGAACCCTGTTTCTATAGCGCAAATTTACATGGGGATATATGATCAAGTGCGCTTTACATCAAGTACTACGCCCACCTACTGTAATTACATACTTATATCTTTACAACGATTGTGATATTACTTTCTTAACTGTGTTTATCCTAACCCACCCTGTCAACTTTCCCTGTGGGAGGAAACCGGAGCACCCGGAGAAAACCCACGACTTTCGGCAAAGCGTTAAGCCAGCTTTCCACTTCAACCGTATCGTACCGAAACGTATCGTATTTCTTTGTTTCCTGAGCGGGAGTGTGGAACTAATGACTTGGACACAAAAGAAAATGCTAGGGTACGTTACGACTGAAGTGGAAAACATGCCTAATTAAGTTTGTTAATTTGCCTTGGTTGGTAATAATTCAAAAATAGTATGTCTTGGCGGTTGTGGTGCATTTGTTTTGCGCATGCTCCAGGGCACCGCACTGTAGTGCTACAGTATGTCTGATTCATGGATGGAGACGATCCATCATCCATATGATCTTGAAATGATTTACGGAAGGTTTCACAATCTGTTTAAAAAATGTAGCAAACTATTCGCTATGACAAGGTATCTTGTTATCCACATTTGTTATTTACATTGATGTTATACGTTCAAGATTCTAATTTGTAACTAGTCCTTCGAATGGCAAGAAAAGTGATAAACTTGAACTCTAAACAGGACAAAACTGTATAAACGTATTACTAAAGCTATATAACTAAACAACATTATCTACTCGCAGTGAAATTTGATTTGATATCGTATTCTATTTTACAGTATGTCTAGTCGAGTGATGAGAATTTTGAGAAGTACAGTAGCGAAATTATAACTACTTGGCTACTGAGAAAATGTAGTTTGCCACAGCTGGAACTACTATTTTGTAAAAGTAGTCAAAACTATACTCGCTACTTGAAAAATGTAATTCGCTACACTACCGAACTACAACTACTTCGTCTTCGCTACAGTAGCGAACTACAATTACTTCGTTACTACCCACCCTTGGTAATTGTACCTGTAAGGTTTTTACTTGACCATAGTGACTGTGTGTACATAGAAAGTCTTGGAGCAGTAGTCGATTTTAGGAGTTGAAAACGTGGAAAACCTACATTTAAATTAAGAAAAAGTAAATTACTGTAAATCATCATTCACCAGTGATTTAAACTCGTACAATACGCAATTCCAGCTATGGACTAAATTTTGATCTAGGCAAGAAGAACAACATCCATCACCACAGCTAGAAAGAGCATGTTAAAATTAGTACAATTGCAAAATTTGGTTGCGAAATGTTGTAAAATGAGGAAAATATAGCCCTGTAAAGTTCGCACATTTTGTATAGATTTGTATTACGCGCGGTAAAAATAACCACTTTCGGCTCAAAAATGGTTATTTTTCACGCGCGTATTGTAATGCAAATTATATATACAAAATTTGCGAACTTCCCATGGCTATATTTTCCTCATTTTACAACATTTTGCAACCAAACTTTGCAATTTTACTAATTTTAACATGCTCTTTCTAGCTGTGGTTGATGCCGATTAAGTTGCATTGCGCCCTAATGCATTTACAGTGCAAACAGCTTGTTTATAAATTTGGAGATATTTTCCAGGACTCTTGCCTGGATCAATGAAGTTAAATTATCTTCTGTAGTTTATAAATACATAAATGGAGGTGCGAAAAAGCATAACCAAAACAGTGCGTTAAATTTTAATTAATCTGCAGTTAGAGTAAATTGTGACCCCAAGGTGTTAACTTTTCAGGCATGTTTGAATGATGGGGTTTATTGGGAGATGGCGTATTGATTTAGCTGAAATGTAGTACTTACTGAGCATGGAAATGCAATAAAATAAAGGCTTGACTACCTCACAGGCATTTGTTGCGGGTGATGTCAATAAATTTGGCATCCGGTTTCATAATCTCTTAATAACACCCTAACACTCTAACCCCTGCAATGAACAGCCTGCGAGTTAGTCAAACCGGTAAAATAACATGAACCCTTAAGGGCAATTTCTTTGTTGTATTGGGGGGGAGTAAATAAATTAAAAAGGGAGGACTTATTAAAGAGAGAGGGAGGGCTTATTTAATACAGTGTTTAACATTCCAAATGCTGTACCATGTTTATTTTCATAAAATGATGTTCCAGATGTATATGAAACAGCCCAGGGTGAAAGAACAGTATTGGAAGGTGAAACGAGTGCCAAAGGCGAGCATAGTCTTTGCCAGTCATCTGGGAGATTTTTAAATATTTCTGTTGCAGGTAACTGAGCTGAGAAAAATACCTAAAATAATAAACAAATACTATATACTTAACTACCATAAATCCTCTATTACACTCTATGGGGCTTAGTTTTTCAGGCACTTTTTGTTTCAGGAAAGCTATAGATTAACCACTAAGTTGCATTGTGCCACACTTATTATTTTACTCTGACAAAAACCAGAACACTTGCTGGTGCACAAGGGAGAGCACTGGTGCCCAATTGGTTAAATGAGGCAAATTATGCAGTAACTGTATCCAACTATCATATTCTGTAACTTCCATAATTCTGGTCATTTGTTCCTATGTTATACGGTAGTGGTTTTTTGTTAACTTGAACATTGTGCTCAGGTCTTGGTCAGGGGTAGTCAACTTGTCATTGGTGTATTTGTGTTTGTTTTTTTATTGTTAACTGCTGCCACACTCACTCGCTGCACACACTCAGACACCTGGTACCAAATTTCTTTTCTATCTCAAAATAAAGCTAGTGACTGTTGGTTTCCAGGGAGTTGTGAGCAGTCTGGTTTGAGTCTCGCCAGTATATGTCTATTTGTTGTTCCCATGAAACCTGTCAATAAATTAATTATTTTGAAAAGGTGGGAATTCAGTGATGGGTTATAGATCTGAGATACTTATTTTTGCATGGTACAACATGGTCATGCACAGACACTTTCAAGATCTAATTGTGATGGCCAAGAAAGCTTCCAGTTTGAAATACTATTAGATTGTTACGGTAGTAACATACTGTTACAGTAATATTATATACTGTATTTAGTGGTTCCGGTTCATACACTTGTTTGAAATTTGTGTTTTGAACAAATTGGGTCATTCCAGAATTGTAAGTTAACCTATAACCACTTCAGATGCCTTCGAATATTGGCATTCTAATTGGCTCATATCTTGTAACATATTTGACCTTACTCACATGGCCTTAATCAAGATCCTGAACATACAGTATATTTATAGTATGCAATGTGATTGATGTGAACCATGGGACATTGCACACATTCCTACCTTGGCTGTATGTTTTGACTGTACTCTTTCCTGGAGTGCTTTCTTTGTTTTAAAATGTTTTGAGTACGTTAGAAAACCAGCCCAAACTGATGACTTCAACTGATACAAGTGACCTGGTAATTCGCTTAGGTTACCAAGTACCTATAGGTAGAATATAAAGAAACATTTTTAATGAAAGACAAACTTCCATAGGGAAGCATAAATAACAAAAGCAACCCCAATAGGAGAGCCAAAGTGGTACTTTTGCTGAAGACATGTCAACAATGTCAGAATTAGTTGTAATTTGGGAATGTTGGCAGGCCAGTTTTCAAAAAAACAGTTAGCTTAATCCTGGGTTAATGTAAAATTCAAAGCAAACTTCTTAGAAATCTTGTCTGGATCATTGTCACACTTGACAGTTCTAATATAAACAGATGTGCAGAAATACATAAGCCAAAACAATGGGTTGAATTTAAACCTAGAGTTAGCACTAATTGTCCATTATGAAATGTAAACTCTGTGCGTCGGGCATGTCCAGTGCTGGTTGTACAAAGGGTGGATAAGTTATATCCACTGGATAAGTTATATCCACTGGATAAATCTCCTATCCAGTTGATAAATCTCCTATTCAATGGATGGTCATCTGCCAGATAAAAATATGTTGTACGAAGCACAGATAGCAGGGCGGATAGCTATCAGTTGGGTAATATTAATTAAACCTGAGAAAACTTATCTCTATGTCAGCAAGTTGATAGTTAAAAGCTAAGTGGAATCCACAAGTTATACAAAGATACTACTTAACAAAAGTTTACAAATGCCTAGCAACATGCAATAAAGTTTTTTGTTCATGCTATTATATTTGTAGTTTTGATGCTTTCTTGCCCATTCATTGAAATATACAATATTTTCCCATAAGGAAGAGTTTCCTATCCACTTATCGATATTTCTTTGAAAGATTTTTTGCTTCCTTATGCAAAAGAAATAGCAAAGACTGTCAGTTTTGTTTTCTTGTTTCAGTATGTTGATTGAGATCTATTTTATATACCATCCAAATATTTGTTCCTTGACCACTTTATCCAAAACAATTTTGAGAACATTTTCTCCCAAGATTTGATTGGCTGATCAAAGTAATTAAGCAAGTGAACAAAATTTTTTGACTTCAAGAGAAGTCATTGTGTGTTTTAACATCTAATAGTGAAGTTTTACTGCTTGTTTTCAAACTATATAATAGAAGAAAAAAGTCAGAATACTGAACATCTAAGCACTGACACTGGTCTGCGTAAAATATGACAAAACCGTGGCATTCTGTATTTAGTAGGCAGTTGAGTTCAGTGTACATCAAGAGCAACTGAGCAAGAGAAGTCATCAGTAAGTTTTCCATGTTCATTTAATGTCAAAAAAGGGACTTCTCAATGGTATTTGTACATTTCTAGCACAATCGCAATCTCTTTGATGTGAAATACAGTACACATTGTTTTGTCTTTAATTAACTTTGAGAATACCCACTCGATAGTGGATTTAAACTACCTCAGGACCTTGGATAAATTTATCCAACGGATATTGCTATCCAAACTTTGTACAACACAATTTTCACGCCGGGCAGGCCTCAAAATAAATCCGGAATGTATACCGGTTATCATGACTGGTGGAGTACAAAATTTACCGGTCACAGAAGCTTTTTCGTCGGTCATCTTTTGTTTTCCTCATTTGCTAATTATTCCGAAGTAACCTTCATACTGTCGATGCAATAGAAGTGTTGATAAAATATTGCACCAATTCCTTTTCTCAAGTTGATCAATTAATTTGATAGAAAATTGATCAACTTCCTGTTACTTTTAGATGAGCCAATTAGATTTCGTTTCAGAACCCACTGACCAATAGGAAACGCACAGGAAGTAAAAAGAAATTTGAATTCGTATAAATTGATCAACTTGAAGAAATGAATTCATGCAATATTTTATCAACACTTCCATTGCATCGACAGTAATTGGCAAGAAAAACAAGAAGAAATTACAAATGTTGAATTATTAAGTTTTGTATATTCTGTCGTGAACGTTTATACAGTTACATTTATAGATCAGTAGTGTTAATATTATTAAGGAAATGTACAATTTGATTGACACTTCGGATATAGTATATAACATGTGAGCGAGCGTTGACTTTAGAACGGGAATTATAACTTAAACAAAACGTGATATTATAAAGTCTTTACTTCTTCGAACCGATTGTGGGAATCAAACGAAACTTCATCACAAAGTGGCACCTCCGACGGGATTATTTGGACTTGTAACTTGTGAATTTATCGGGAATTTATCGAGAGTTTATCGGGGTTTGAGGAAGTATTTTGACTACAAAATCGAGCTATGGTGACGAGACAACAAAGTCAGCGAAGAGATCTTGAAGCCCAAGACGAACAGCAATCGGGTTTATCCAAGGAAACTGAGTCGAAACTGGTTAACTTACAGTCTTTACTACGGAAATTAGCATATTTTAACCGAGCAACGGACGAGATTTTGAGAGTGAATTCGAAAGAGGCGATAATACGACAACAAACAACGCTAAAAACCAAGGTAAGCGAAGCGTATGGTTTGATTGAGCTTATACAATGCTTGAAAATCGATGCAGGCGAATCTGACGAAACTATTGACGAGTGGACAAGCGAAAATAATGGCAGATTACGTGAATATGAAGCGGCAATCGAAGAGTTAAATCGTAGGCTCTTAGTCAGTCTTAGACGAAGAGAAAATACAAAGGGAAATTGAGCGCCAAGAAAAAATTCGACAAAAAGTGGAAGCACGAGCTCTAATATAAAGACATGAGGAAGAACAGGCAGAATTTGAAAAGCGTGCAAGGGAGGAAAAGTTTGCATTATCTTTGGAAGAAAAGAAGTTGGAAATTGCTTCTGCAAAACGGATCAAAACAAAATTACCTGATCTACAAATATCAAAATTTCAAGGAAGTCATTTGGACTGGGTGCGGTTCTGGGGTTTATTTGAGACCCAAATTGATAAAGCACCTATGAATGATGAAGCAAAGTTTGCATATTTGAAAGAGCATGTTGTATCTAAAGTTAGGGTTACAATCGATAAATTACCACTCAGCACCGAAGGGTATGCGAAAGCGAAAAAGATGTTAAAGGAACGGTATGGTGATACAAGTGAGGTGGTCAATGCACACATACAAGAAATTATTTCCCTACCTACCATTAATGGTACTTCAAAACAAAAGATACATAACTTTTATGACAATCTTGTCGGACACGTTCAAGCGCTTGAAACATTCGGAAAACTAGGCGATGTTGCGGGTAATGTAAGGATGACTTTGGATAAGTTGGAAGGGATTCGGGCTGACCTAACAAGAACCTCGCCAGAGTGGAAAAAGTGGACCTTCCCTGAGTTGGTTGAAGCATTGCGACAATGGATTGAGCGAAACCCAATACAACAAAGTGAGAAAGATGCGAAGAAAGATGGATCACCATGGAAAGACGGTAGGAAAGATAGATTATTGTTAGCAAAGGAACAATCTAGACAGTGTGTGTATTGTGAAAGCAAAAGTCACAGATCGGTAGAGTGCGATAAAGTTGTGAGTGCAAGTGACCGAAAGAAATTGTTAAGCAGCAAGCATCTGTGTTTTAATTGCACAGGCGAGAAGCATAGAGCAAGTGATTGTAGAAGTAGGATCCAGTGTTATAACTGCAAGCGAAGACACCATACTTCTATTTGTGATAAACTAGAAGATGGTCAAAAGCTGATGTGCCAACCCAATGGAAATGATGTTGTTTATCCAGTTGTTGTAGTCGAGATTGAAGGAGTTAAGTGTCGAGCACTTTTAGATACTGGATCTGGGAACTCTTTCGCGTCAAGTACGTTATTGAATACAATTGGAAAAAAGCCAGTGAGACAGGAATTTAAATCAATTGAGATGATGTTCCAAACTACAACAAGGAAAATTGATGTGTACGAAGTCGAGATTGCAGATGTTGAGGGAAAATTCAAGATGCCATGTGAGTTGAACCGGATCGAGAAGGATGTGCTAATGACTTTGCCAAACCCCAGGTACAAGGAACTTATTAAAACTTATGAACATCTTCGAGGAATCCATATGAATGACGGAGACGAGAAAGCACTTCTACCTGTTCACCTTATCTTAGGAGCCAGTGATATGTCCAGAGTCAAGACATCAGAACCAGCCAGGGTTGGAGACGATGGGATGCCAGTTGCCGAGAAAACCGCGTTGGGATGGACCATCATGTCACCGGGACGAGAGATGAATCATTCCTTCCTGATGTTCACCAAAAGCTCTCAAGAAGACTACATGCATCTTTGCAGCTTGGATGTGCTAGGATTAGAAGACCGTGCCGAAGGAGATCAAGGAAGCGTTTATCAGGAGTTTAAGGAACAGCTTACTAAGCGAGAAGACGGTCGATACGAAACGTCATTACCATGGAAGGCTAATCATCCAGAGCTTCCGACCAATTACCATGTTGCTAAGCGGAGATTTCAGTCATTATTCAACCGGCTTGATAAACAACCAGAACTGCTAGAGACTTACCACAGTATCATAGAGAATCAACTTGAGGAAGGAGTCATTGAAGTCGCACCAGAGAAAGCAGAGAGAAGCCGAGAGCATTATATCCCACACAAGCCTGTAGTACGAGAGCATGCCGAGTCTACGAAAGTAAGAATTGTTTACGATGCTTCGGCAAAAGCTGATGAAAAATCACCTTCGTTGAATGATTGCTTGGACATTGGTCCCCCACTCCAAAGGCGAATCCTAGATATACTATTACGCAGTCGAATGAGACCAATTCTCTTGGCTGGTGACATAAAACAAGCATTCCTACAAATTGTGATCAGGGAGATCGAGCGAGATGTAATGAGATTTTTATGGATAAATGATCTACAACGCAAAGAGGTGATGGTCTATCGCATGACCAGAGCGATGTTTGGGCTAGGCCCAAGTCCATTTCTACTCGGAGGAACTTTGAATGTTCACCTCGAGAAGTATGTACAGCAATATCCACAGTGTGTTGAAGAATTGTTCGAAGGAACTTATGTTGATGATATAAACATTGGAGGTGACACAGTTGAAGAGACTAAAGTACTCAAAGAGCAGACAAAAGAGATTCTTAGTGAGGGAAGTTTTATGTTGCACAAATGGCATTCTAATGCGGTGGAGTTAGAGAGTGACATCGTGGAAGACGGCGAATCTACTTATGCCAAAGAAACTTTAGGAACTAAACCATCTGATACTAAACTGCTGGGGTTGGGATGGAACAAGAAGGAAGATACTTTGTTTGTATCACTACCGAAACAGAATGTAGAAATGACCAAACGAACAGTCCTTCAAACAATGGCGAAACTGTATGATCCTCTGGGTATAGCTGCTCCGTATTTACTCACGGCGAAAGTAATCTTCCGGGACATTTACGATGCATGAGCTGCCCAAAGATCTTAAAAGCCGATGGGAGAGATGGTTAGACAGTCTGCCAAGTGTGTTAACCTTCCCAAGAAGCATTCCTCGAGAGAGAGCATCAATTACCGAGATTCACATTCATGGGTTTGCCGATGCCAGCATTCTGGGATGTTGTGCTGTTATCTATGTAGTGGCAAAGCAGGGTGAACTAGTTTCTCGAGGTCTGCTGGTATCCAAAGCACGGTTGGCGAAACGCGATTTAACAATTCCTAGATTGGAACTTGTCAGCTGTCATATGGTCTGCAACCTTATCCATAATACCAAAAAAGTTCTTAGTTATCTTCCGGTGACGGGTGTTTATGCGTGGACTGATTCAACCGTTTGTCTACAGTGGATTAACGGACAGGGTAACTACAAGCAATTTGTGTCGAATCGCGTGAAAAAGATTAACGAGGAGAAAATTGTGAGATATGTTCCAACTCAACAGAACCCTGCGGATATCGGTAGTCGAGGTACAACGAGAGATCTACAAGTCAACGAAACCTGGATGAACGGTCCTGGTTGGTTAAGTGAGCCTGCGAAATGGCCGGAGCAATTACAGATCAAACCCAGCGAAAAATCTGAATTCGAAAGTCGAATGGTTAAAGAAGTGATGAAAGTTACCATTCCGAAAAAGGCTGATTTTGTCGATAGTCTGTTAGAGAAATTCCAGCTGTTAAAAGCAGTACGAGTTTTAGCATGGGTTAAGAGATTTATTGACAACCTGGTGTATGGCAAGAAAGTCAATGGGCCATTGGCAACCGAGGAAATGCAGAAGCAGATGCAGTTCCTGATTAAACGAGCGCAATCTGAAAGCGAAATACTTGAGAACTTCAAATATGATTCCACCAGATTAAATCTTCAAAAGAACGATGAAGGAATATACGTCTGTAAAGGAAGAATCCAAGGCGAATATCCTGTATATCTCCCAGCAAAACATGTTTTATCCGAAATGGTTGTAAAGCAAGCCCACGCGAAGACTCTGCATGGGGGAGTTGGTCTGATTATGAGCAAAGTTCGTGAAGAATACTGGATTCCAAAGCTACGAACTCTAGCTAAGAAAGTCCTCAGCCATTGTTATGGATGTAAGCGGTTTCACACAGTACCAGAACCTAGCCCACCTGAAGGTAATCTCCCGAAAGAAAGAACCGAAGGCATGACGCCATTTGATGTAGTAGGTGTGGATTACGCTGGACCTATTTATTACCGCAGCAAGAAGAATGAAGATAAGTCGTATATCCTCATCTACACATGTTCCTTAACACGAGGACTCCACCTGGAACTTTTACCGAATTTAAGTTGCGAAGAGTTTCTGGCAAGTTTCAAGAGGTTCGTTGCAGTCCGAGGACGACCAACGAAGATGATCTCAGATAATGGGAAAACTTTTCATGCAGCGTCAAAGTGGATTAAGAAAGCTACACGAGATGAAAAGTTCCACGCGTTTCTGCAGGATCATAAAATCCAGTGGCAGTTTAACTTAAGCAAGGCAAGCTGGTGGGGCGGCATGTTTGAAAGAATGGTTGGATTGGTGAAAAATTCGCTTTACAAAGTTGTTGGTTCAGCTAAACTCACTTACAAAGAGTTGCAAGATGTATTACTGGACATACAAGTAGTACTGAATTACCGTCCTTTAACGTATTGTGAAGATGACGTGCAACTTCCGATTCTCACACCAAACCTCCTGATATTGGGAAAAGCAAATTATCTATTAGAGTTGCCTACCGAAGAAATTGAAGAAGACGATCTACAAAGGAGAGCAAAACATTTAAAGAAGTGTAAAGATGCGTTATGGCGTCGTTGGCGAAATGAATACATGAGAGCACTTCGAGAGAGACACGATTTACGACACCACGGGAAAAGAGCACGATTGCAAGAAGGCGATGTAGTTCTTATCAAGGGCGATGAAAAGAACCGAGGCAAGTGGAAGATTGGAATCGTGGACAAACTAATACCTGGAAGAGATGAAATTGTGAGAGCGGTGAGACTGCGCGCAGGAAAGAGTTACCTCGAAAGACCTATTCAGTTTCTATATCCAATGGAGCTAGACTGTGAAGCGAAGAAACAAAATCAAGGAGAACTGAATCCCGAAGCCAGAGAGTTTAGACCAAAACGAAGAGCAGCGGTTGAAGCATTAAGGAATATTCATCAGATGCAGGCCTTAAAATATCTTTTACAGGGTCGTCTGACAAAATGTCCGATGACATCGAGTTTGGGTCGGACATATGTCCGATGACCTTCCGAGTTCAGTTTTGACTCGGAAATAGGTCTGAATGACACAAATGAATATCAGCACAATGTATTAATTCTGAATGGTAAATGTTGTGAAGATATTAAATAATTTGTTTCTTTCATACTTATTTCCAAGCCAAAATTAACTTGCTTTCCAGAACATCAGTATTAAAAAAGACTTCGACAACTTAAGCCTGTTTTCCACTTCACCATTTCGCTCGCCGCCCCGCGCTCCACTACGTTAAAACAACATTTCCAGCTAGTTCACCTTAGTACTCTGATTTTCCATTTAACATACAAGCCTCTAGTCCTGGGTTTGGGTACATTTTGATTTACGTTGGACAAAGCTACAGTTCGGTCAGACACAAATACACTCAAGTCGGACAAACAAGAAACCTCAGCTTCACTTAGGTCGGACAGAATGTCCGGTGGTTTCCTCACTACGTCGGACAATTTCACGAATGGGTCGGACAATGTCCGTGACCGACCGATATTTTAAGGCCTGATCAGATGCAGGAGACTGAAGAGGACGGTGACTAATAACTTTGCATGGGTATAAGTAAAACTGTAAGTGACTTGATAAAGCGAACAACAGTTAGTCAAACTTAATTAGTCAGTTTATATTTCAAATAAGGATTATTTAAAATAGGGGGAGTGTGTCGTGAACGTTTATACAGTTACATTTATAGATCAGTAGTGTTAATATTATTAAGGAAATGTACAATTTGATTGACACTTCGGATATAGTATATAACATGTGAGCGAGCGTTGACTTTAGAACGGGAATTATAACTTAAACAAAACGTGATACTATAAAGTCTTTACTTCTTCGAACCGATTGTGGGAATCAAACGAAACTTCATCACAATTCTGCTTACACAAGGATATTTCATATTTCAGTGGTGACAAACAAAACTTTTATTTGCCATAACATATTTGAGCCACACAGTTTTAATGAAACAAAAATCCACTCGTGTACACACTTTCCCATTAAAAATTTGACCGGATATGTGTGTCCTGTAAGCAATAATATGCGTCAGTCAAACTGAAAAATTTACCTATCAATGACCGTCAGTTACTTTGAGGCCTGACTCCGGGTAACATTTATCCACTGGATAGCAACGTATCCACTGGATAACAATTTATCCACCTTTCATACAACCGGCCTGGGCTGTTGGATAATCCTATCCAAGTTTCGTGTAACACAAAATCACAAATTTTACTCCGATTTATCCACCTTTTATACAACAGGCTCCAGTACAGCAATTTATTTACTAGTATTTGACGCACAAGTCTGGCACACAAAAAAGTTTCATTCCACACACGCTATTGGGTCATTCCACAAAAGATCCATACTCCCCCCACAGAGGAAATTTCTGCCGTCCGGAGGGAGAGGGGAGAAAAAATTGTTTCTGATAATAGTAAATGTATTAGGACATCCGAAGGGAGTAGGGGGGTTAACTTCCTATTTTCTCCGTGGGGGTGGTATGGATGTTTTCTGGAATGACCCATTGTGCTTTGAACAAGCAGCCCATATGGTGGTCAGTCGGATGTCAAACCCTGATTACAGTTCGATTCCTGCAACACGCAGAGAATAATTGTGATTTATTTACATTCTCCACAATCAAAACATTGGCAGGTTATACCGGTACATGTATATCATGTATCTGTTAGACTTATATGAATTCACGGTTCCGAGTTTGGACCAAACGTGCAGTGACAACGACTTAAACTGCATTTCTTGGTCTGGTAAACATTGGTCACTTTGAAGTCGTCACAGGATATGAGCATGTGACATCAACGGTTGGCACTATTTTCCATTCAGCGAACTGACCTGACGTCATTTTTGGAAGATGAAGTTAATTGGCCATATTACTAACCCAAACCCTACTCTAACCCCTAACCAAATTAATAAAAAAATCCAAAAAGAAACGACTTTAGAAAATCGTTAGGGCGGTTTGCTGGATGGAAAATAGTGCTATAAACCGACATCAACATACAACACATAATTTGTAAAACTGCATCAGTATGATTTATGAATCACTTTTGGAAATTAAAATATATAAAGACATATATCAGCATCAAGGATTGATAGACAAACTTAAAACTATCATTCTGTTATAAAAAAATCTATAAAGAATAAAAAATTCATTATATATAAAGTTCAATAAAGCCATGCGTCGCTTATAAACTCACCTGAGAGTTGAAGCCATTCATTGAGAACATAGCTGTCAAGGGCTATTTCTCCAGGCGACCAACGATCAAAAACGACGAGTATATACTTACAAATTATTACATAGTATTTGAGTTAAGTATTTCTCAACAGATATAGTAAAAAGATAATTTGGAAATGAAATTTGAAAATAAAGAACTCGAGGAAAAATTTTCTTTTCAGATTGATTTTGCAAATCTAGTTCCCATGCTCCCGCCTGTCGCGATCAAAACGAAATGACGTAATAAAGGATACAAAAAATTGTCATAGGGTTAGGGTTAGGGTTAGGGCTGATTCAGAGAATTCAGAGCGTCTGATTAGGGGCCGAGGGCCGGGGAGTAATTTTGAAAAAAAATTCCTGCAAGGCTATTCTGAACAACAAAAAAAATACCTGCACTAACAAACTGGGGGAAAAAATATCCTGACACATTTTTTGGTTGCAGGGATCGATTTGACCAGTCCCAGAAGATCAGCTGGCTTGATTTTCATGGACTAGTGTTAGGTTAATTTCTTGTTGGAAAACTCCTCAAAATGCTGGAAATAGCTTATCTGAGCTTCAACGGGCTAGCACCTTCGGCAGTTGACTCGGTTGTCTCAGAAACCTAGTTATGGTCTGATTTGATGCCCTATGACGTTTACTTATTAGTTAAACCATGCATATATATTATATATGCTGGTAGCTGATACAGGCCGATACCAGTGGCCGATACAGGCTTACCGACTGGAACCTCTCCAGGTCCCCCGCTAAATATGTTCTCTCCAGTTACACATCTTTAAAAGAGGCTTTGAACCAAATGTTATACCTCATAGCAATATGTATTATTAAAAGCAATGCATGAAGCTAGAAAACTCAACGTTAACTATAATTAAAGAATCTAAATGGTATAAGCTATTGAAAAAAATGCTGCAAAAGAGTGGCAAAAATATCGTACATGGTGATAGGTAGGAAAAAATATCTTGCATACAACGATCCCAGAAAAAAATCCCTGCCGGTAGTAAATCACCAAAAAGTTAAATGGTCGGCCCCTTAGGATTGAACATACTTTTCAAGAACGTTGAACAATGCCATCGTTCAGACTACAGGGTTTTTAGTAAAGAAAAACTTACAACTAGAGTGATACAGAGAGATCGATGTTGAAACGACTTTACCTTTAATATTAAAACTGCTCTTAATTTGCATAGGCGGCGGCCGGAAGTTTGCGAGGTTCATTTTGAAATCTCCACTTACTAGTTGTTAATTGTTGTGGCAATATAAACAAACAAATAAAGAAAGAAATTCCCGCCAACGGATCACGTTTCACGAGAGGTAAAACAGCCATTTCACGTGTTACAAAATAGCCAATCCATGAAAATTAAAAAGACGTTTTTAACTGTGCAAATTTTATTTTCTAAATTGAGTGTTTTTTTAAAATGCCTTTTTTAACCTTCTACCTTATTTTTACGTTTTCAAAACTAATTCACAAACAAAGGGGTACAAAGCTTGACAATGAGACACTTTAAAAAACACACAACTGATGTATCTAATAAAAGTAAAAAAAATAGATGCAGTACAATTATTACACCCAAAGCGTTGTGCACTTTACGGGAACAAATATTAATTCACGGCTCACGAAAATACCGTTACTACCCGCTTCCTATGATCACTGCCGGTTGATTTGTAGTCTTGGCAACAATATAATTATCATATTAGCTTCTCCCCTCAGCCCCCTTGTTTCTACTCAGGGGAGGGGGGGGGGGGGGTAGTCCTCCTGGTTCCGCCTTTAATGCGCAGCAATAGTGAAACGGCCTCATAGTGGACTGGAACACAGACTGTTTCACAAAACAACGAAGTTTATCGAAGTTTATCATGCCAACGCTCGACGGATCTATTGTATGTTCAGCTAGGGTATTCTATAGCATCTCAAACAGAAATTTTACCATTTAGTCCTGGATGTGGCAGCAAAATTTGAGACGTAGTGTTCGAATTTGGGGAAGGAGCTATGGGTAAACTTGTCCACTGAGTGTATAAGATATCGTGGTTTGTGTCTGAATTAGCTGAAAATGATTAAGGCAGAACCACGTACGGCGGCTTATTATATACTCTAGGCTTTATTGTGTTTAATTCAAATGTATGCACACTTTCACAAACTTAAACATAACGACACAAAACCAGTTTTCAGACAATGCATGATAATGAAGACTACGAATGAAATCTGCATAAATGATCCATTTCAAAGTATTCATTCTTACAAGCACGTTTAAGTGTTGAAAAGCCAGGTTTCCATTTAGTCGCAGCAGACGTGACAAATGTATGGTCGCCGATGTGAAATTGGCTCGATCTATTATAAAAGTCATTATTTAGTCTTTATTGATCGCAGAATAGGCAGAAATATATTGTAACTATATTATATTGGTTAGCTTGGCATGGTCGTAACTGGTACGACCAAATGTTAGCACAATTGAACGATAGGAACACTACAGTTCTTAGAAATCAAAGTCAATGTCGTCATAAGTTACTGGTCTTGCTCTGCTCCGTAAGCGCTGTGCTATACCTATGTCCTCTTGATTCACCGCTTGTTTATCACTTTGAATTAACTGATTTGATTGCTTGTTAGATGTTTTGGAATTCATAAACGATTTAATCACCGGTTTGTTTTCCACATTCACTCCACTACCTTTACCCCTGCTAGCCTTAGTATTCTTTCCCTTCTTTCCTTTCTTAGTTTTCTTCTTTCCAATGTTAGCATTCCTCTCTTGTATTTTCTTCAATTCATCTTTCGGTACAGGCGGGAATGTCAGGGGTATGCGGTGATATGCAATGTGCCAATCTAGGAATATATTAGGATCTATAGGTACCCAAGGAACGTATTTCTCATACTCAACTAGAACCTCTTTAGAGTGGGCAAGGTGAAGGTCGTAGGATGCCTTCTTTGCTTTCCCGCCTTTTTCAGCGTCCATCACTTCATACACACATATATGCATATCGTTAGCAGAATGAGATAAAATATACTTTCCAGACCTTAAAAGTTTCTCCAATCGAGTTAAGATACCGTGAATCATTTTCATCGGCTTAGCAGGGTCAAAGGAGGATAGAGTTAAGATATTGGATTGATTTAAAACATCCAGTTTTAACAACTGTGCAGTAATAGGATTAATTCTCGCACAAATACAGAGAGAATCTGGATTAATATAAGTATTGACCCACCATCTTGATGCTTCACTAGTTGTTATCTGTTCATATCCGTATGTTAGTTGGTATTCAGGTTTCACAAAAACATTAACGGAATGCAAAGAACCTTTGCCAGTTTTGTTCGACTGGTAAAGCAATCCGCAATCAGTAGTACGGATTAATAAGTTTAAAGTACCAAATGTCCACAGACTGTAGGTGAATTGGGACACTGCCTGATTTATCTTGTCACAATCTTTGCTCTGGCCCATAATATCACCATCTGAACTCATGTCTTCTTTATGATTAACTTTTTCAGGTGTAATACCATAGTCTTTACCAAAGTCTTTACCAAGATTTTCAACACTTGGTTCCAAATTATCTTCACAAATAATTAAATCACTGTCTATGACCATTGCCTCCTGTAGTTCGCTGCCTTTCTCAACTGTTGTTCCAGAGTTACAGATATCAGTAGAAACACTCTGGTTGTCGCGAGGTTTTCTTAAAATATCACACACCTTACCACGGTAGTACATTACATTTGCTTCTCTTGGTTTCATAGATTTAGGTGGTAATGGATCATCAATCATAATTGTCTTAGAGCATTCTGAAGTCGCTTTATTGGATTCTGAAAAGATAATAAAATTTGGTTTAAGACAGTACAAATATACCAGTAACTTTATGCTACCAGGTACCTGCACGCTAAAAATAAAACCGATGGCTGGGATCTTAAAGAGCGACTACATATTCCGTTCGTGTTACAAAATAAATTATTTGCAGAATATTTTCATAAACATGGAATCCAACGGGAAGCAATATTTTATACACACCTTTTAACTGGTCAATAACAGTAACTGGTAGTTCCCAGTCTTTCTCGTACTCTGGTGAATGATTGTCGATCAATGTCTGCAATGCTTCAGCGGTTAGCACAAAATGAGCAGCATTATCTCCAGCGAGGTCACATGCAGTTGAATCTTGGTAAAGCTATTAAACATATAATTGAGTGAGTGCAAATCACTGGACAACAATGTTATGGAAACATTTCCTGTTACCAAAACCGCGCATGCATCATCTCGCTCAAAATAACGTATTTATTTTCGTGTCAAAGCATTCAGGAATTTGATTACGTTACGTAACGTCTTAAAGTTTGGGAATGGCGACATCTGAGCTTAGCTAATAGTAGTATGACATCTGAGCTTAGCTAATAGTAGTATGACATCTGAGCATAGCTAATAGTAGTATGACATCTGAGCATAGCTAATAGTAGTATGACATCTGAGCTTAGCTAATAGTAGTATGACATTTTAGCAATCATAGACATAGGAATGCAAATCCTGAATGTTTTTACATGAAAACATGCACGAAAACACGTTTCTAAAGCCGGTTTTCCACTTAGCTTAACAGTAGCGATTTTTTTCGCGCGAAGCGAATTTATTCCTTTGTCTTTAAGCAATTTGTTCAGATGGTTGCAGCTGAGAGCTTAAAACAAGTAACAAAATGTCGCTTCGCGCGAGTAAAATCGCTAGTGGAAAAGGGAAAGGGTGAAAGGCGTGAAAGACAATAATATTGGGGGAGGAGAAAAAGTATATTGCCCAGGGTTTAAAGAGAGACACACAACCCAATATAAATTTGCTTCATTATTAATATATTTCATGGGAAAAACATGTCCTGACTTATAATACATGCAGTACGATACCTGACAACGAAGTGATATCTCAGTTTCGTTACTTTCAAAAAGTGACTTGTGTTTTGTTTTCATGTTGGGTAAAGATAACAAACTTTGTGCCTTGAAGAAAAGTAGAATCAAGTATGGTTCACTACCAGCTATGTTTATTTTTAACATGGTTGTGAAATGCAATGGTATTGTGTACAGAATTACAGTTGATTTCACGAAACTTTGGTCACGCCAATTGCGAGGTTGGTTGGGAATTTGGGAACTATAAACACGAGATCGTCAAGCAGTGCCGTAGCCAGAACGATAATTGGGGGGGGGGGACATATTCATATATTCGTGTTCTGCTTTATTAATTTCTTTTGAAATCAATTATTTTTATGGTATGTGAACACGAATATATGAATATGTGCCCCCCCCCCCCCCTTGGATTATCACAGAGTAGAGACATACAGAGACGTAACTAGTGTACCCACTTTTTTTGTGCGCATGCTCGGCAAGTTACTAGATGCATGCATCTGATTGGATGACGACCTGATGACGACTCACTTTAAACTTGCTGAGCACGCGCAGTTGATCATTTTTCGCTAGGTCGCCTGAAAAAAAGTGGGTACATGATAACGTAATCTTTCGCAGTGTTTACAACGGTCAGTTACGTCTCTGTATGTCTTATCTACTCTGTGCTATTATCATTCTGGCTACGGCACTGTCGTCAAGTTGATTGGAAACCGGCCAATCAAATTCGGAAGTTTCGCATCAAATTATCGAAATCCGTTATGAAATTCCGAACCAAGTTCGCAAGCAAGTTCGCAAGCAAGTTCGCAAATTGCAAACGATTTTGACGGTAAATTTTAAAAACTAAACTTATTGTATTAAACTTATTATAATTTTAAACCTGAAATTATTATTATTATTATATTATTTATTATTAAATGAATAAGTTTAATACAATAAGTTTAGTTTTTCAAAATTTACCGTCAAAATCGTTTGCAATTTGCGAACTTGGTTCGGAATTTCATAACGAATTTCGATAATTTAATGCGAAACTTCCGAATTTGATTGGCCGGTTTCCAATCAACTTGATGATCTCGTGTTTGTGGTTCCCAAATTCCCAACCAACCTCGCAACTGGAGCGGCCAAAGTTTCGTGAAATCAACTGTAATTTAAGAAGCTAAATACTCACTACTGCTTGCTTTAATGTTTGTTTGTAGGAAAGAATCGGATCGTTCGGAAAGACTGCACCAGATGAGAGACCAACTGTTTGAAACAGAGAGTAGTAAGGCTGAAAAGAAAAAAAAGTTGCAAAAACTGAAATAAAAAGAGCGGCATGGATTGGGGGTACTCCCAAAAATAAAGTGAGTTTTCAGTGAGCACATTATGCGGGAAATAATATTTTTGTTTCTGGGATTCTAAGTTTGAGGTCAAAGTTTTCTGCCGAGCTCACAAATATATTATTTTCTGTGCCAGCTAAGCCAGGACCCACTATTAATTCCTGTTATGGTGTACATTCCCATCTATGCTTCAGCATCCCCAACATCAAAAAGTCAGAACGGATTGAAATAGACGACAAGTTATTTTACTGTTTTTGATACGGAACAGTGGCGGACACTTCGTGAAATGTTGGGGCGGGGGTGTGAGTGGGCGAATTAAGTTGCCAAAATTGTCCTAAATTTCATGCAATATATATTAATTCATAGTCTACCAATCATGGTTGAAAAAGTATCATTACAGCTCTGTTGCACATGCAGTTATTCAACTCAAAGGCTTTCAAAAATGATTACCCACCCCGCTGTAAGTTACGGTTAAATAAAATGGAACTAAGAAATATGAACGTCATACTTACGGCTAGATTCTCTGTAACCTGGCGGCATCTTAGGGTTTGAAGTATGTTCTAGGACAAAATGGGAGAAAAAGGTATTAGAGCATATACAATAATCTCTTCATGAATTACGCCGATAATAAGATACATGAAAAAATCACTTTATTCTGATTGCAATTTTATCGGGATACGTGCATGGCCAGCGCCAAAACACAAGACATTTTGATTTAGTTTTGACTTCTGAAGTTGAAAACTTGCATTTAATTGTTGTGTCATTCAAATGAGGGACTAAATTATTTACTACGTTAAATTATATTTACTACCCTTACAACAAATGAGCTTTTCGAACGTAAATTTCTATACAATTTTAGACCTATAATTAGGAACAGTTGCGAAAAATGCAACTATACACGCCCTCTGATAGGAATCGAACAAACAGCCCTAACTGCGATTCCGGTGAAGCGCTCTAACCGAGCTACAAAGTCCAGTTACCGAGGAGCATCCGAACATTGAAAAAAAACTTTGCTTCGCCAAGTATATACTACCCACAGGACATATATCATTGTTAGAGAAGAATGATATATTTCCTCCATTGTTTATTTTTGTATTCACCCCTTGAACACATTGATGCAGAAACAAATTTTGGATCCTATGAACAAAAATGTTTCCTAAATTAAGAATGCAGAAACCTGTTTTCTTTCACAAGTATGATTTTTGTTGCCAAAACAATGTTTCCTGGTTTGCCCACCTTTGAGAACAACAATGATTGTTGGAAGAATCGTTGCAGCACGAAGTTCCATTTGTCATTAAATTTCTTTACGACATCTTACCTGAATTTCTTTTTTAACTTGTAGATGAAGAAAATTGTATTCGTCTTTTGCTGACAAGGAATGTTGCTGAAGAAACCTTAAAAATTCTTCTTGTTCTGAGGATAGCTTCCACATTAAATTCTGAATAGAATCACCTTTCTGAGAATAATTTCTAC